AAAGGGCCCGTGGGAAGGTTCAGTGGGGAAGCTGCTTATCATCAGGCCTGACTACTTAAATTAGAGGCTGGGACACACATAGTAAAAGGAGAGAGCCATCTAATGAAAGTTTTCCCCTGACTTCCACAAGTGTGTGGTGGCCTGTGTGCTTGTGTGTGCTTGTGCACACACACACACTCCAAAATAAATAAATAAATCGATTAATTAATAATAAATAAGTAAATGAGAAATTTAAGTTGCCTGCTATAAAAAAGACAAGAGGGGCCTGGAGAGATGGCTCAGTGGTTGAGTTCTTCGTTTTTGTTTGCTGTTATTGTTGTTTTGTTTTTTCAAGACAGGGTTTCTCTGTGTAGCTTTGGCTGCCCTGGAGCTCACTCTGTAGACAAGGCTGGCCTCAAACTCACAGAGATCCACCTGCCTCTGTCTGCCAAGTGCTGGGACTAAAGGTGTGTGCCACTACAATGCGGCTGGTTAAGAGTTCTTATTGCTCTAGAGGACCCTGGTTCAGTTCCCAGCACCCGCTTGTCACTCCAGCTCAGGGATGGAGAGGTCTGTGGCCTCAGCAGCCCCCTGCATGGAAACAGCACACACAGAGTTAGGTACATGTGAACAAAGATACAAAAGTAAATTTAAAAACTCAAAAAAAAAATGTTTTTCAAGACAGGTTTCTCTGTGTAGCCTTGGCTGTCTTGGATTGCTTTGTAGAATAGACTGGCCTCAAACTCACAAAGATATGCCTGCCTCTACCTCCCTGAGTGCTGGGGTTAAAGGCATGCACCACCATGTCTGGCTAAAACTCAATTTTTTTTAAAGATGGGAAAAATAAAATGTAGCAGAATTTCTTATGTGAGAAAACTGGGAAACAACAAAAATGTAACACAGTAGATTTGTATGTTAAAACATGTATGAAACATGTATGTTAAAAATGAAACGATACATTTTACAATCCCACTTCCACATATATGTGTATCAAACATTTTAAGGAGGGCTGTTGACAAGCATGTGTAGGAGTACCTACCGGTAATCCAGAGCTCAGGAGGTGGAGACAGGAAGATCAGGAGTTCAAGGCCAGCCTTGACTACACAGCAAGTTAGTGTCCAAAAATAAGATAGAGCTGCTATCAAGGATTCAAGAAAGGGTATGAGCTGGGTGAGGTGTCGCACAACTGTAATCCCAGCACTTGGGAGGAAGGGGCAGGAGGAGAGTTGTGAGTTCGAGGCCAGCCAGCTCTACAAAGAGAGAACAGGACAGCCAAGGCTACACAGAAAAACCCTATCTTGAAAACATAAAACAAAAAAAGATTATAAAAATGAATACATATTATATATAACATAATATATAATATATTATGTATAATAACATATATATTATAAAAGAGAAGCATTACACAGACTGGTAATGACAATTTGCCTTAAACTGACAAATGTGTTTAATTCAGCTCTTCCCACCCCCCCAAGGGTTCCATTCCTCAAAAGAAGTGTCTGTGCATTAGCTGTATATGTCTATGTGTCTGCAATGTATGTGTCTATAATGTATTAAAGTGTCTAAAAATGTATAGACTAAAATACTAATCATGATTATGACTGGGGATGGAAATAAAGGTGAGTCTTTGCTATGCTGAACAAATACTACATAATAAGTCAAATATTTCCCACTGTTAGATAAATGTATAATTGCCTACTAAAAATCAGCTGCCTGTGTGGCCAAAGTCATTTTATTGTTTTTCCAGAATGTTCCAAAATAGCTCTGGAACAAGACCAGTGGGACCACCAAATAGCTATCTAGCCTCACCCTTCTTCCCATGCAAATGAAGAAAAAGCCTCCTGATCCAGCTTTGGCAAAACCCTCCCTGGAGTTCAGAATAACAGGGCCTCCTGCTCCCCCACTGGAGAGAGGAGGGGTGGCCCATGCAGCTCCCTCCAAGTTGGATTCAGAACCTCCTCTCAAAAGTTGCCTTGAACAGCAGATGCCAAAACAAAAGGTCCCACCTTGAGGGTGAAAGCGGTGTCTGCAGCTTTGTAGACACAGGTGTTCTTCCAGTCAACTGGAGAATTGCAGTGCAGGGCTGTGCAATAGGCCAGGAATAGCTCAGAAGGCCCTCTCTCAGAAGCCAGCGTTGGAGGCCTTTCAGTGTATGTTCTAACTATATTTGGCAATGCAAACCAAATAGGTCAGTGGCTTAGCTCAGGATGGGAAAAGGCTATTCCTGATTTATAATCCTTGCTTCAAACTGAGACCAAGAATTCAAGACTCACTTTGTTTCTTTTGCACATATTGAACTCACTGCTGAGGCGACTCTCCTTCTTCATCCTACTGGCCCCTATGGAAAGCTCTCAGAACCAGGTGTAAATCACAGATTCACAGATTCAACTCCGCCATCCTTGGAGTTAGAGGACATTTGGGGACATCTGGCCCCAGGATCTTAAGGTTAAAATTATCTCATTTTACTTCTTATGTCTTCATAGCATCAAAATAGCCTGCGGCAGTTGGGTGCAAATCCAGGTTCTGCCACTTACTACTCACTGTGTGACCTTGCCTGAGTTACTTTATGTCTCTGAGGTTCCTTATCTACTGATAGTGATAATAACACCTACTTCATAAAGCCACTGTAAGAACTCAGTGAGATAAGGTGTGTAAAGTAGCTAGGAGAATATCTGACACCAAGCAGGGACTAAAAAAAGAAATGGTTTCCATCCACCCCATCTCTCCTTTCCACCCATAGCTGTTCCGACAACCTATTGGTGCTGAATTTTCAAGAAATTGTCTAGTACCCTTGGTTCATTGCAAATGGGTGATGCCATCCCCACAGCCAGCAACAGTAGCCACAGATAAAAGCTGTGACTACTTCTCAGCTGCAGACAGGTTCAAATCAGCTCACAGATGACTCAACACCGTTGATAAATGATGTGTTCTTGGCATCAGGAGGCCCTATCCCGATAACCTTCAGCACCTTATGAAAAAAAAATCCAGAAAGCCAGTTGAACAGCTTCCAGAGAAGGGCCCAAGGCTTTGTGGTGACCTTTAGTTAATCCCAAATGCTGTACCAGGCTGGTCATAAGAGGGTCTCTGTCTGCTCAGAAATGTCTCAAGTCACAGGTTTAGCAATGGGAAAGACTCCAGCTGAGCAGCTGTCTGGTTGCTCTTAAGGCTGAACCACAGTGCTTATACTTGCCTTGAATTCCCTGAGGTCATAAGACTCCCTCAGACTAAGGCTAGATGCCTGTTCCCTGCTCCCAGCTGCCCCTAAGCTGGTGCCCAACCTGTCTTTGGCAGCTTTGTCTGGTAAGTTGAAGTTCTGCCAGCGTGAGGTTTTGGCTGGAGGTCTCTGCGGCTACGGGACAAACCTTGGAAACGAGTGAGTGGCTTAAGCCACTGTCAATGAGGCCAAAGTGGTCTCTGCTCTTAGTAGTTTCTGTAGCCCCTTCAGACCACCCTGAACCCACTGGCACAGGATTGGAGCTTCTAGTCATTTCCTCTTGCACGCATGCCTTGTGCCTCTTCAGTGCCTGGCAGAGTTCCGAGTGACTGCCCAGCAAAGAGTCCTTTGGGCCAGGATGGTCTGTTGCTGCATTTATGATCTGCTGTCACTGGGACCCTCACGAAATTGTTAAGATCAAATAGGGCACGAAACTGGATGGGACTGATACTGCCTACAGCCAGGGGCCAACAATTGAGGCCTTGTGGGGGATTCTATGTGCTATAGGCTGCTTCTTCTGAATCAGGAGCTGCCTCTATCAGGTTGTGTGTGGATTCAGACCCAGGCCCAGCGCTTTTCATTGTGTATAATAGGCTTCTTCTGCAAGGAAGAAAACATTCGGCCCCTTAGCTGGGGCTCTGTAATGCCAGACACTTCCATCCTCCAAATCAAACAGCTTCCCAAGATCCTAAACTAGCTAGAGGTACAAGCAATTCAGTGTGTCCAAACGGCCAGTAAAACTTTCAGGAAAGCACAATAATTGATCTTCGGGGATTGGCTGAGCAAGCCAATTCACTGACTCCTAGGTAGGCAGGTATATGGCGCCACCTTAGCCTCCCTTTCTAAAAGTCTCTGTGCTCTGGGCCTTCAAGCTTGGAGTCTAGCACTTCTCACCGGATCTGGAGGTGACAGAAAGCAGGGAGGAAGAAAAGAGCGAGAGAAGGCTAGAGAGAAGTGAAGGGAGCATGAAAAAGACTTGGGAAAGAGGAAGGAAGAGGAGAGCTGGAAGGGGAGAAGGAACAATGAAGGTCTCAGCCCTCGGTGGCGCACGGTTCCGGCGGCACGTCCGTCCGCTTGCCTCCGGCCAGCAGCTGCTCGCTACACAGCGTGAGGGCGCTGAGTCACTGTCCCGGCACAGCAAGCCGGCGTGCAGATGGGGGGGGGGGGGGGGGGGGAGCCCGGCTGGCATCTGCAAACCGCTTTTTTTTTTTTTTTCTTTCTTTCCTCTTTCATTAAGGCTATGTGCTGACTCCCACGTAGGAGAACTTATTAAACTGCACGTACCACTTCCACCCCTCTCGGGGACCACGCGTGACGACCAGCAGGGGGCGCTACAGCCCCGCTTATGGATGCTAGAGCCCAGTGAGGACTTGGGCTCCAAGCTGAGGCTTTCCCAGAGACCCAGAGACGTGCGAACTTTTTGCCCGCTTTGCCCGGGTAGCTTTTTAATACCCGCAGCTGCCGCGTAAACTCTCTACTTAGAAAGTCTCCAAAGAATGCCTTAGCTCAGGTTCAGTGAGCAACCCCATAAAATTGGGAGTGTGTTGTGCAACCTAGGAAGCCCAGGCTCGCCTAACTAGGACTCACCCTACCCCACCCGGTCTGGCGGCCACGCAAGGTGGTGAACTCCCACCCAGGACACCGCTTTGTGCACCCAGATGGACAACAAAGTTCGTGACAGATAAGGCCGTGCACAGAGATGTTGGCTTGCACCCACGCCGCAGTTCAGTCTTCCCAAAACAAGAAGCAAAACCCAAACCAGGACCACCCCTCCCTAGATGCACGAACCGAGGATGAATCAGCGTTGAGACAGTTTATTGGTTTGCTTTTTCCCAGATCACATATTTAAGTAAATAGATTATAAGAGACATAATGTCTTTTCTTCTTCCACAGGCGGTAATCAGGCGCTCTCCACCTTAGACACACACACACACACACACTCACACACACACACGGAACCAAACAACCTTACACCTCGCTGAGACATTCACGTCTTAAAATAGGGGACGGTGACAATATCATTCGCTTTAAAATGCCCTTAATACAATATATAACGTACAAAAATATCTCTATGTATTTGAAGTTACCAAAAGAAAAACAAAAAAACACCTCTTGACAGCAACAAACTTAAATACGATAGTTACCTTTGGCTGTACAACAAGCATTGCACTTTTCCTCGCTGGGTTTTAGGAAAGTTCAAGTAGTAATGAGGCTTACTAAGCCCCGTGAGAAACCAGTTTGTGAGCGGGCAAGGCAGTGGCTCAGACCCCTGCCCGAAGAGTAACAGTCTGTACTGCTCAGTCTGCGTGGCGAGCCTGGCCGGGCTGCCCCCTCCCCCAGGGGCAGCCCGGCGGATCTCCGCAGGTTTGTCTCGGTCCGCGCCGGCGCGAAGCTCTCTGATTCCGCAGGAGCCGGTGGGACTCTTGCCCGACTGTTCAGTGCCGCCACCCGCAACTAAGTCCTAAAGGGCCTGGGGAGGGCGCGGGGCGTCCGCGGAGGCTGCGGTGGCGAGGGTCTGCTCCCGGGAGGACGGCACAGTCCGGGCCTGGAGGACCTCCCGCAGGGACCGCCGGCGCCGGCGGCCGTAGCCCTGGGCGCTGATCTTGTCTCTGGGGGCAACGCCGTCCTTGTCTTTGTCGGTCAGCTGGTAGATCTGGTGGGCCAGTTTCTGCACCGTGCAGGTCCCCAGGCGGCACGGAGAGCTGCGGGAGCCGGGGTTCATCATCTGGCGGTAGCGTTTGACTCGGATGTGGGCTACGCTCGGGGTGCTGCGGGGAAGGAAGGACACTTGAAACTTCACCAGCCCCGGCTCTGGCCCTAACACCCGGGACCAGGGCCATCCAGAACCCGGGACCTGCTCCCTCCACCGGAGCTGCCGTCCGGCCTGGGCAGTCCTCCCGGGGCCTGGGCAGTGGAGGGGCACACGATCTGCGGAGGGCATAGTTACCTGGCTTGTGGGGGTTTAGATGTGCTCTCCTGGCCCTGGACCGCAACAAGAGTCTCGGTAGAAACCGTGTCCTCACCAGCGAGTCCCGAGGAACCGCTGCTGGATGCCTGCAGCCCCCTCTTTCCACGACTTAGCGCCCACTTATTCCACCTAGAAAACACAAGCAAGATGCGTTTGGCTTGCGTTCAAGGGGCGTCCCGGCCAGCTCCCGTCTCCACTCCCTCCTAACCCCTGCAGGGCGTCCCTCGGCGTCCCCCGACTGCCGTGCATCAGGACTGAGGAAAGCACTGCCCCAAACTCACTTCTTTCGGAACTGCGAGGACGCGTCTGGCGGGGCGGCGTCCGCGCCTAGGAAGGCGAGTGAACCCAGGAACATCAGGATGATGGAAACCAGCTTCATTCTGTGCCGATGCTCAGACACCCTGGAAAGGAGCAAGGAGCCGTGGGTGAGCAACCGGGCCAGCTGCACAGCCCCGGCGGGGCTCGAAGGGCGGCGGCAGAAGGGGAGCAGCTTGGCGGCGCTCTGCCTGGTTCGGCTGCTTATCTCCCCCTGGCGCAGAGAGGCACCCGGAGGCTTTGGCGCTGGCCGGGTGGGTGACAAGCAAAGCAAAGGAAGCCCTGAGTGCCAGGCTTCCAGAGCTCTCCAACTCAACTCTGGGATCACGGCCCAAGGTGGGGAGGCATCTCAGGCGAGATCCAGCTGGGTGCACGAGCTAGACCTGGGACGTGGGGTGTGCTCTACAGCGGATCCCCCAAAGTAGAATCCGCTCGTCCAGGTCTGCAAGCTTTGGGGCTTTGGCAAAGCGGCACTCCCCGCCCCGACACGCTGGACACCAGCGGTCCCTACCTGCTAAAGGAGTGAGCTGTCAAGCACTTGGAGAAAGTCCCAGACGTCCTTTTGACCGAGGCAAAACCCCAAAGTCCAAGACGGACTGCGGTGAGAAGCCAGGAGCGGTAGCGCCGGAGCTCTTCTGCCTAGTGTCACCAAGAAACCACTGAAGAGCCAGAACCAGCTCCAGTGTTTTATACACTCCGGGGAGGGCGGGGCCTGCTCTGCCCTGGAGCCCTCCCTTTCCTCCAGCGCCTGGCTTCTAAGATCAGACCTGCCCCGAAGCTGGCCTGGGGTGTAGGGGTAAGGGTAGAGGTCCCTTCTGGCCAGGCATCTCGGAGCTCCGTTCTGGGAGATCAGACTGGTGCAGGACTTCCGCTGCCCTATTTCCTGGCTTAGGGTTCAGGCAGTGAGAAGGAAAGGAGAGCCAGAACAGCTTGGGTCCGGGAATCCTTTTCCTAGAACGACTACAGCCCAGGGTGCTGGTCTGAGCTTTTGGGATGGAGCTGCAAGAGCCGGGGGACGGGCGGGACACGTGGCTAACCTAGACCTTAGACTTGGGGGGCTGTGGCCTCAAAGGGGCCGCGCCCCCTGCCGGCTTAGCACCTGCTGGGCCTCGATCCCTACCCCTGCCTGCAGAGTACACCTGGAAGGGTTGGGTCCAGCCCCCCGACAGCGCCTGAGGCTGAAGGGTTTCTCCATGGGCTGGCTAGCAAGATTTCGTAGTAAGGGCAAAGCGGAAACAGCTGAACTGAAAATTGGGCTTTGGAGAGGGTAGTTACCTGAAGATTAAGAGCTCACATTCCTATTTGGAAATACAGGAATAGCCAAAATTAGGAAGAGAGATAGTTTTGTTTTCCTCATAGTACTGTTACGCCTTCTGAGGCTGTAACCTGAGGGCTGGCCTGACTGCCTTTATTCACCCACTGCAAACGTAAGGACTGAGTGACAGGGACTTCACGTGAGCTAATTGTCTCTTTTGATCTTTACACACACCCCTGAACTGGAGTTCTCACGTATAAAAGTGAAATTCTGAGAGGGAAGTATACTGCCCCGTCACACTAAAGGTGGGAAGCCAAGGAGCCCAAACACCAAAGACTGGGGTGCGGGCGGCTCGAGTTTTTCTGGCTGGGGTCATCATTCTCATCAAGGGGGAAGAGGAAAATTCCGGCCCCCGCCCAGAGGTATGTGCTAATTCATGATGAATCAGTTCAAACACGTTTCTCTCTGGTTTGTGATCTTCACGGATCCTTGAGTTCACTTTCTTCCCTTCTAGGGCCAAACCGGGAAACAAGGCGTAGCTCCGCAGGCAAGGGTCCTGGAAGGTCCCTGAAGCTAAAGCTCTGACCCTCCCCAGCTGCTAGCCTCACGTCCTGGCGATCCGGACGTGATAAGTTGTGTCCCCTTCCTAGCGTCGCCGGCAGATCTCCCGGCTTCCCACCTGACCTGAGACCACGCGCAAAGCCAGCTGGTCACTACGTTCCGCGGACCTTGCTCAAAGCTGGCTCAGCCCAGTTCCCACTCTCCAGACTGAACCGTGGACATTGCACCTGGGAGAACATGGCCGCACCGAGGTCACTTATTCCGGGGAGTCTTCCTAGAAGAGGAGACCTGAGTTCCCCCGGGGCGGGGGACAGATTCCAGCTTCTGCTCGGGGGCTTGAACAGGGCTGCAGCTTGGTGAACTGGTCCGCCCTCGGGCCTTCTGGGCCCCGGGACAGTCACCGCAGCAGCCCCAGCCCGGGCTGGTTTGCCACCGTGGAGCGCAGGTAGCCCAGGGCGATGCGGGGTTCCCGGGAACCCCAGATCGTCACCATAGTTTTTCCTGGCTTCTGTCCCTTTCTTCGCCCTTCCTTTCACTTCATCCCTGGACTGTCTGTCGATGCAGCCGTGTCCGTCTCTGAGGATGCGACCTACCTGCAGCCAACTTCCAGCTGGGCCCGGGCCACAGCAGGTTTTACTTTCATTTCCCCGGCCTAGTATGCCCAAGTCAAGGACAGCCTGGTGTTGGCCCACATCCAGGGCGCGTCTCCTGAGCTGTACTCCTCCCCAGCCTCTACCAGCCTCGAGGGGTCTGTGTGCAGAAAACCCCCGCCGGGCTGGGCCTTGTTGCCTCCTTGCTTCCTCTCCGAGGAAAGTCGGTGACCTGAGGTTAGCTCTGGCTTGGAACAATGATCGCCAAATATGCTCTTAGCCGAAATGTATTGTGGTGATTACTATTATCATTATTTGGACAGGATCCCCTGTAGCCCAGCCTGGCCTGAAACAAACAGCTACAAGATGACCTTGAATTCCTGATCCTTCGGCTCCACCTCTTATCAGCTGAGCTACACCCCCAATCCCTCGAACTTCTTTTTTTGAGCCACAGGTGGCTTCAACAAGGAAGTGAACCGAACCCAAACGGGGAAGGCTTGGCTCCACTGAGCTCCTGGGTCTGCGCCAGTGTACTGGCGCTGTGCCAGGAATCCCCACCTGAGCGCCTTGGCACGTGCCTTGTTAGCCTGGGTGCTCTTCGCCGCACTGGCATTTAAGAGATTGCCGCCTGAGAACCAAGCCAATTCTTTTTTTAGGCGAGGTCCCAGACTGGCAACTAGAAGAATTTTGTTAGAAAATCTTAGAAAGCGCGTGTATGATTGTGGTTTGCGTGGGTGGGGAACCTCTGTCAGTGTGCTCCCAGAACTGCTAAAGGATGTAAGCGGGGAATAGATGAGGAATTCGCCGTGTCTGGGTATCTGCCCTTCCCCCCAGAAAATGAGTTGCTTACTTAATCACCAGTACAAGAAAAAAAAAAAAAATCTCTAGAATGCATTTTGGGTTCAAGGTCTAGAAGTGAGGCAGCAGGGGCCCTTTTGGCTATGCTTTCACAGAATTGCATCCAATTCAAGTACAATGATTGTAAATTCACCCTAAGCAAGGAAAGAAGGGAGAGGAGGGGAGGGGAATGGAGGAGAGGAAAGGGAAGGAATATGTTTAAAATCTTCCTGGCAAGAAAACAAAAAGGAAAAAAAATCCTACTTAATGAAGATCCATTTTTTGTGTGTGCCCAAGAATTCCTAAGTTGTGTTTATGTGCACATCCTTTCATCATATTTCCATATGTATATACATATATATATATATATAATATATATAATATACATATATACTCTAAAAGCCTACTGAATAATGGTGTTTCAAAGTCTTCCTCACATTCCAACTGAATTATTTTTAGGCCCTAAATCTAAACCTAATTCTTATCAATATTTGGAGGTTTTGCTTGTTTTGAACATGTGGTTTTATTTTCTTAGTTAACAGTGTATACACAGTCCCTTACACCAGGGTCATTATACTTGGCTCTCTAGAAGAGAATGAAAAACAGTAAATAGTACTAATAGAGGCTAAAATGAAAGTAACTGGGTGCATTGTACAATGATCTCAGATGCTCTCTTCAGACAGGACATTTTATGAGGCATTTTTCTTCATGAGGCACAAAATGCCTGTTAAGCTTAGGGCTTGTTTACAACATTCTCTTGAAAACAAGGTTCAAGATGCATCCTGAAGTCACAACATCAAATGATTCACAGAGAGGACACAATCAGCTTTGCAGATATGGCCTCCTAAGGATAAGTAAGGCAGGATGTAAAGCCCAGGACATTTTCTGGGGATCTGACCTCTCATAAAAACCTAATGAAAATATAGTTTCTTCCCAGAAAATAAACATGTACATAAAACCAACTATGTATAAAGCAGGTATACAGTGAATGTCAAGACAGGGACTACATTAAAAACTAACATCAAATAAGCAGCACTGTTCCTGTCTCTGCCTTCTAAATAAGAAAGAAGTTACAGATACAGCAACAGTGCTGCTTATTTGATGTTAACCCCTGTATTTAAGGCAGAGCATCTGCATAAAGAAAAGAAAAGCTTTGCTTCTCCTGTTCCTTTTCTGTCTCCTCTTCCTCCTTCTTTACCTCGTGTATGCGAAGCAAATGTTCTGCCTCCGAGCTGTATTCCTAGTTTCTGTACAAAGCAGGCAGATACAGATAGTCTTTGCATACGATAAAGCCAGATGCTAAACCTCCCTAAAGCTTAAAGAAAGTAATTTGTTATGGGATAAATGAAATAGAACACAGAGAAGGCAGCAGGAATAGAGGAGGCTGTCCTATTGACAGCAGTAACAGAACAAGATAAAAAAGACTTCAGGAGAAGTTTATTACAGATGGCACAATGGCTGGCATTAACAAAGAAAATGCTACGTGCTCACATCCTCTAGGTGGGAATTCTGTATTACTATCAGATTATGAAGACTTCGTTAAAGGCATTTACTGTTTAAAAGGTTATTTGTCCTTCCCCAGATAGCTACTGTTTGTGAATTAGGTACCCAATACTGTTCTAAGTCTTGAACACACAAAAATGATTCATGCAAACATCATTCTTTCTCTATAAGCTTACAGTCTTGTGGGGTAATCCACCATTAACAAACTCATAGACCATGCATAGAAATGTATGTAATCACTATAAATTTCACTATGACACCTAAAGAAAGCAAGAGGGACCTAACACCCCAGAAGGGATAAAGAACATATGTATTTAAAGGCCCAGAGGTGAGAACATTTTAGTTCAATAGAGGAAATGAAAGAAGGTGAATTTGTTTAGAATATACTAGGGAAGAAGAAATAATAATTAAAAAAAAAAGAGAGAGAGATTAAAGAGGAAGCCAGAGAGGCTCAAGAGATGGCATAAAAACATTTTCTATGGGGCTGGAAGGACGGCTCAGAGGTTAAGAGTCCTGGTTGCCCTTCCAGAGGTCATGAGTTCAATTCCCAGCAACCACATGGTGGCCCACAACCATCTATAATGAGATCTAGTTCCTTCTTCTGGTGTGCAGGTGTATATACAAACACATTGCATACATAATAAATAATAAATCTTAAAACAAAACACTCTCTGCTTTTTTTTTTTTTTTTTTTTTTTTTTTTGCAGCGTTCCTAGCATGTCAATGGTGGTTGACAATCTTCTGTAGTTCCTATTTCGGGGAATTTGATGTGCTATCACCTCCTGGGATATGAGGCAAACATGTGGTACACCTAAATACATGCAAAAACCAAAAAACAAAACCTCTCTTATCACTCATATGCAAAAAAGGTAAAAATACCCCCCCCCCAAAAAAACAGAGGTCAGCAGGTGTAGTG